CGATATTTCCAGTCTTTGAATACATTACTATAGCAATGTGTTGTATGAAGTTTTTAAAATAACAACCTGTATAAACATTTGAATACTACATTTAGTGAGACACTAAGAGACGCATACAAGCGACGTGTGATCTATAAAGTTACTGCATGTGATCTATAAAGTCACTGCATGTGGTCTATAAAGTTACATCACTATAACCATCATCATCATCATTATTATCATCATTATCCCCATCATAATCATCATCATTTTCACTTCGATTATGTATTATTAATACTTTCTATAAAGGAAATAATAACCATTAAGAAGACGATATTTAAGAGATAATATCAACTGTATAGTAAAGTAAAGTAAAGGACCCTTTTCCACGCCTTTAGGCGTATAGGGCATATAGGGCTAGACCTATATTTTTTAGACCAATCGGCACAAGATGGGTGATGTGGACAGCATCATGCCGGCCGCCTTTACTTCCTGGGACTGCACCCGGTACCCACTCAAGGCTGGGTTGACCTGGGAGCCAAGATCATTTTTTGAAAAAGTCCTGTTCCGCTAGGGAGCGAACCCACGACCTTCTGATCCGTGGCGAACGTCTAGCCGCTCCGCTACGATGACTCCCATATCAACTTTATGAGCACCACTAATTAATTATTTTTTGAATGTTTTATTTTTTATTTTTCTAGTGTTACCTTTTAGTTTGTATGTATGTATATATACCTATTTACGCCTTTTTTTCTCCAGCTTATTCTTAGAATTTCTGTGGGAAGTAGTTAAGGGGACGGTCGGGGACACACTGTACAAAACGGAGACTGTCAAATCGAACACGGAACGTATCCTAAGCGCCGAGATGGTGACGTCACGTCAAGCTGATGACGTCAGCACCTCTGCTTTTTCTTCGTTCACTGTAAGCTCCGGCGGAAAGTCCTAGTTGTTCGTCCATTCGGACTCTCGCTTTGTGCCAGGGCCTGAGTTTTGTGTGTACATCCGTTTTTAGTGACTTATTTGTGTGCATCTGGTTGTTCCTTGCGGCTCGGGCAGATGCACTTCGACTTCTATGGAAGTTCCCAGTTAGTCTGTATCTACAACATGCTTGCTGGGTTGGCAATGAATATATTCTTATTTCCCCCCCCCCCCACAATAGGACCCCAGAACCCACACTGTGAACCTTCAGCACCTCGGTCTAATAATCTAAGGAAGGCGTTGGTCCATTATTCCCAGAAACAATATCTCCTGCGAGTAAATATTATTCCGCTTGTCTGCTTATTGTCCGTCTCACATACGTCTTAACATACGTGCTATAAAACAATGTCACATTCTTTTTTTTTTCCCCTTTTAATTATTACAGCTGACGCCTTCTTATTGGTGATTCTCTGTCGCATCTTGCGACGTGTCCTAATGATACTTGTTCTCTGCAAGGCATCGCGCATCACAGGATATAACTGTACCAAATGAGTTATATCTATATTTATCTTATATTATCTGAACATCGACATCCTATATTATTTGAAAATCGACATCATATATGTTTTGAACTTCGACATCAAATATTATCGGAACATCGACATCCTATATTATCTGAACATAAACACCCTATATTATCTGAAAAGCGACACCAAATATTATCTGAACATCGACATCCTGTATTATCTGAACATCGACATCAAATATTATCTAAACATTGACATCCTATATTATCTGAACATCGACATCCTGTATTATCTGAACACTGACACCCTATAATATCTGAACATCGACATCCTATATTATCTGATCATTGACATCCTATATTATGTGAGCATTGGGGCGAACTAGCCCATTAACAGTTCACTCTGTCCCGAAAGCTGTGTTTTGCATCGCGCATGTCGTCTGTGTCTGAGGCGTTGCAACGCGCTTTGTAATGCCGGGTTGCCAATTCCAGTTGTGTGCCTTTTGCCTAGCTTTTCAACAATGGTAACGAGAAGCCGACCGTCTAGAAAGCAAAGGCAAACTACTGGACGTAAATTTGCCTAGAAAAATCATAACGACAAAAAAATGCTGGGATTGGTTTCTGCAACGTTTAGCAAAAGATACGCAACTAACTTTTTTTAAGCATCACGGAGGTCTGAGGATTAGGGGGGGGGGAGGGGAACCAGGGTGATGGAGGGTACAGCTTTTAGAAAACGAGGCAGTAGGCCCTTTCCGTGAAGGAAGTTAACAAAACATTGAAGACGCATTGGCTATGAAAGCACATGGCGCATAAAGAACTGCCAGCGATGCATTTCCATGCGTGCCGACTAGAGCAATTTTATTTAAAAGACCTTCTAAATGATGATAATAATTATATCACAACTATAAATATAAATTTCATATTTCGTAATAAATCCCCTTAGACATTTTTAATTTAATCAAGACTCCTATAAAGAGATCTGCTAAAAAAAAAAAAAAAAGAAATCAAGAAATATCAATGCCACCAAGAAATGACAGAGCAGTTTAAAGTGGCATCTCTGCAAAGAGCAGATAAGCGTGAACAATAACTCTCTAATCCTCGTCAAATGAATGAGAAATGTACAGTTTTCACACTCGCCAGAAGAAGCTATGAAGTGGAGTCCAAGGTCTAATAGAAAATGCGGTGTCGGGGTAAGGTAATGCTGTGTGAATTATTACTCATAAAATATTCATTCAACGCTATCAAGGAGGAGTAACTCGAGTCCCGAGATGAGGATTCTGATTCACTCAGAGGCCAGCTTTTCTGGTGAATTAGCTAAGGAGTGACACATCGAAGGGCGGGAAAGAATCGTTGCTGAATATCTCGAGGAAAAGGACAAATGTGAAGATGTTAGTTGTGAGAGAATGTGCTTTTAAGAGGAACATGTTTATGATAGAACTTCAGGGTCAGAAGTTGGGGGAGGTAAATGAAGGTTGACCTTGAAGGCGACAGGCGATGGTTCTTCTTCTTCTTCTTCTGCGTTCGACATCAGTCATGCTAAATATTGAGTCCCGTCTGGGTCACAAATAGGATTGTGCGTTTAAGGCCGCCACCGGTCCCCCATAGCTTCTCTTTCAATGTGGCTCGCTTGGGCCAGATCCACAGTCTTTGCTGGGAGAGGTAAGGGCAGTACTGTAGTATGTGCCCAGGGGTCTGTCTTTCTGCTCCACAATCACAAGCAGCAGATTCTTTTATTCCTATCCTGTACAGGTGTGCTCGAAGACCACAGTGTCCAGTCCGAAGTCTAAAAATTGTTGTTTGTTCTTTTCTGTTGAGTTTGTTTATGCTGTCACTCTGGAGATGACAGGCGATGGTAACAGCCTTACTGCCGTCAGCCTCTTTGTTCACTTTTCTGACCCAAATGTTACAGTATTCTTCCTGCAGTTATAGGCACTTTATTTTTATTCCCCTACACATTTTTAATATCCAGGCTCTATAATAAACAGTAATGGAGACTGTTCGATAGAAAAAAAACAGGAGGATAGCCAGAGCAATGCAAAGATTGAACAGCCTTAAAAGTCTATGGTTAAGCACCAGCAAGGAGATTAAAAATTATAATTTTGAGAGCATGCATCTTCCCTGTGGCTACATACGGATGTGAGTCGTGGACTATCTCTCAGTCCTTAAGAAAGAGAATAGGGGCTTTTGAGCTGAAATGCTATAGAGAGTCTCAGAATATTTTGGACAAAGAAGATGAGAAATATTGACATCTTAAAAGATCTGAACATCAAGGAAGATTGGCTAATAAACAGCATCCTTTCTCGAAAGCTGAAATATTTTGGTCATATCAAGCGCCACGACGGATTGGAAAAAAATTATAGCAGAAGGTATGATACGAGGAAGGAGGGGCAGGGGTCGACCGACACCAAGATGGGCACAGGATATAAGTGACTCCTTGAGTGTGAAAGCGCATGAGGCGGGAAAACTGGCGACAGAACGAGTTTCTTTCGGGCAGACTGATGAGAGCGACGTTCTGCAAAGGACCTGCTACATGATGATGATGATGATGACACATTTTTAATGTCTCTTTACTGAACAGTAAGTAATAGTGATAACTCGGCTACCCTTGGATCAATATATTATGTGCAGTCTATTACATCTTTGCCGCTAGTCTATTTTGTCTTCAGCTTTTTTGCATGTGGGAGTCGCCGTGGCTAGACGCTCGCGTGCCGACTGGAAGGTCGTGGATTCGCTCCCTGGCAGAGCCTGATTTTTCTTCCAAAAATTATCTCAACTCCCAGGTCGAGTTAGCCTTGAGTGGGTACCGAGTGCAGTCCAGGGAAGTAAAGGTGGCCGGTGTGATGCTGACCACATCAACTATCTTTTCTGATTGAACTATAAAAATATAGGTCTAACCCTATATGCCCTTTACACCTAAAGGCGTGGAAATGGAACATTTACTGTACTTGTCCAAGTGTTGGTGTTGGTGTTTTGAGTGCATACAACAAGACAGGTTCTGTAGAAAACTTTAACAGTATTTATTTCTCACTGCAGCTGTTATGTTCTTATATTGGTGAGAATCTGTTGCACCTTGCTAATGTGCACTTCTGCTACGGCTGTTTTTGTCGTGCATCAGATGTTATGACTGTTTCACTACTGTTGTATCCGTTCACCTCTTGAAGATTTTGTCGTCTGCGTGTATTTCATACCTTGGTATTTATCCTTGGTGATAGCCAGAAATTCCTTTCATTTACAGTTTAACGCTTAGTTTCTTAATGTTTTTTGGCTATACTGCCATATAATCATATCTTACTTTTATTATCTCTTTCATGTTGCCCACACTCAATAGAAAATAAAATAAAGAAGTAACGTAATGAACCTAATCTAAAGCTGCTAACTTAATTATTGAATAACGCAATTTCAAAATCAAGCGTCATGGTGGCTTGAAAAGTGATGGAGGGTGCAATGTGTGGAAAGCGAGGCAGGGGTGGACCTCCGCAAAATGGATAGAGGACATTAAAGATACATTGGCATTGAAAGCACATGTGGCCCGAGAGCTGGCTAGGGAAAGAGATACTTTCAGGCATGCCGTGAAAAGAGCGCCGTTTCGTAAAGCACTTACTGATTTCTAAATGTCTAAATCAGATGTTTAATATAGTGTTACACCTACCAAGAAATCCTAATTTTTACAGATTAAAAACTGTGAACAGTTGATAGTACATGAAGAACAGCTTGTGAATAGTTAAAACTGGAAATAGTTATGGTAAAAAGGATAGTCGAAGACAATAATAGAAGATTTTAATAGCCTTTCGTCGGGCCACAGACAGGTTTCAGTAATGAATAACCATATGAAGTAGACCTCAAGTTATTTGGTGACATGATAACCTACTGATAAAAGGATACATTTATGTAACCTATGGTGACATCTCAATGGGTTGAAATGAATTCTGTCCGTATTCCATAGTTGTAGATTTCAAGCTGTACAATAGACATGGCCAATCAGACACCTTTATTTTGGGGGTGCCTAGTTGACCATGTTCTTAGTGCACTTGTATTCATAGCGAGGCGCAGACGCCGTCTGGAGGTGACAGGTTCAATTCCCGGCATGGTAACTATAGCTTTCGATTTGTATGTTGTCTAGTGTGTTCTTCTATCTTTCTACTGCTATCTATGAGTGCCGATCAATACACTTTCTGTTACTTGATTAAATCATAATATTTAACGGCCTCAAAGGTTCTCCCTCTGTTTATTTATAGGAATGATGTATACACACCGGAACCTACCAATCAAATACCTTTCTTAAATGTTTGTGTATTCTATACAAAGCAATAAGGTCTGCTGTGTTCGTAAATTGTTGCTGTGATTGTTATTCGATATTTGCTTGGTTAAAATAAATTTCTGTAACATATGGTGCCATTTCATGGGTTGAAATGAATTCTGTCCGTATTCCATAGTTGTGGATTTCAAGCTGTACGATAGACATGGCCAATAAGATACCTTTATTTTGGGGGTGCCTAGTCGACTATGTTCTTAGTGCACTTGTATTCAAGGCGAGGCGCAGACGCCGTCTGGAGGTGACAGGTTCAAGTCCCGGCACGGTAATTATAGCTTTCGATTTTTATGTTGTCTAGTGTGTTCTTCTATCTTTCTTCTTCTTTCTACGAGTGCCGATCAATACACTTTCTGTGACTTGATTAATTCATAATGTTAAAAGAAGTTGCTTTGTATGTAGTCGGACAGTTAGTGGACAGTTATGTGGAAGCGGCAGAGGTTTGGTTTTACAGGCGAATAATACGAATGATGAGATGACAGGTGTATATTTGCTTTTTTTTAAAGGAATGAAGATGTCTCGCTAAAACTAACTTAGGATTTGAACCCACGACATTCCGATATACGGGCAGAGAGTCCAGTCAGCGGATATAAGAACAGAAAATGGAGGGGCAAAAGAAAAGGTTTTGAAACTTAATAACTGTACTCCCCCGTGTGCATTCCAGAGCCCTTTTATAGGGAAAACAAGAATAGACCCACTGCCTACCCAAAATCAGGTCGTAAGAGTCGACTAATTGCGAGCTTCCTTCAAAGTCGGAGTGCATCTGTCTGAGAGGCAAGGAACCAACAGTCTGCACACAAATGTGTCAGATCGGTCAAACCGATGCACACACAACACTCAGGTTCTGTAACAGGACTGCAGTCCAGAAGTGGACGGACAACCAGAACTTTCCACCAGAGTTTACAGCTGGTGAACGCAAAGAAGAAGAAGAATAACTGTACTAGAAAAATGAATAAAATGATATTTATATTTTACGTGAAAACTAGAGGAGATGAAAGAGAGAATACTAAATTAGAAATTGGGGAATTTTGCAGTAGTGAAATATGTAAATGGAATGACCATCAAAGTTCCGCCATATGCAGCAATCACCACTTTGGATGTTTTACATCCAGATTTAGACGTTTTCCCTTGTATTTAGATGGCGATTTGACGTTAAGATGGTAGAAGTTTTTCTAGATGTTTTTTATTTGAACTGGATTTATCAAATCTAACGTAAGAAACAGGATGAAATTTGACCTCTTAAATGCTATCTTGACAATACAATTCAGCCTGATTAGAGTAGTAAAAGGCTGTTCCACTTATCATCTCCCTGATTGGGTATTAAAAAGAAATTGGAACAGCTAAAGCATATCAGAGTCATTTTGGATCTGAAGCCTGAACTTCATCATCCAAGCTAAGTTTATCCTGTGTAAGGCAGACTTCGGTAAATATGAGGACACAATTCTATAGGATAAGTCATATCAATTGCTATGTAATTAGTGACTCTTTCCATTTGGGTGTTTTTTTAAGATGTTTTCCACGCAAATTTAGATGTTTTTTGACTGCGTTTTGGATGTTTTTTGTCAAAGAAAAGTGGCAACACTGTTCGGCTCTAAACCTAGGAAAGACGAGGAAAACCTGGAAACAGTTGCTACAACGGACAACAAGATATTACGAATCAGACTAGAATAGAAGAATGGCTTTAAAATAAATAATAAGGTTAATGTCCGAAGAGGAAATGGGATCGAGAAATTTGGATGATTACAAAAATCGCCGTTAATTGTCTGCTCAAACCACAGCGCTTCAAATATAAATTGCCTGTATGTTTTCTTTTGTTATTCGTAAGATGTGAATGTGTCCATCAATCATTTAAGACCTTCGTATTGTGGCCGCTGGTTTGAATGGACCATTTCTTTTTATCTGAAAGCTCCAGCATGTCTACCAGATTATTTGTGTTGCAGTTATTATCTATAATTCTGTACTTTAAAAATTATATGGTTTAGCTAAACTCGGTGTTTCTCAAATGAATAATCTGCAAAGGACAGCTGTAAAGGTTTTTATTTTTCTTTTATCCTTTTATTACGTTAATTTTCTCTCTCTCTCTCTCTCTCTCTCTCTCTCTCTCTCCCCCTCTCTCTCCCTCTCTCTCACTCAGTCTCTTCTACTGCGGGTGTGTGAACGGAAGAACAAGAATAAAAAGAAGAAAACCAATCTCTCCCAAACACTCTTTCCGAATGACAGACAGAGAAAGCAGAAAATACAGCTGGATAATAAGTGAAGAATTATTTGGAGGCGATGAACATATTGTTTTATAAACGAATAAAAAAAAAATAAAAAAAAAATACCAAGGACAGATCTAAAGAGTAACAAGATGTCTTGAAAGAAGCTCACTCGCTGTCCAAGTCAGAAGGAGAGAAACTTCTTTCTCTGGTCATTTTATGAGAATGAAACAACTGGGGTACTTCGTGCCACGGTAAAGTTGCAGGGGAAACGATTCACGGGAAGAAGAAGACAGACCAAACTGGGCCATAGAAGATCGTCTGTTTCAGAAAAGATTTCCTAATCTCGGTTCTAGGCCCTATTGTCGGGGTGGGGGAGGAAGTGTGTGGGGTATCAATCCCTAACAAGCTTGTCGTAAGAGGCGACTAGGTAGCAGTTTCCTTTAAAGTCGGATTACGTTGCCTGAATGGCGAGACACCAACAGTCTCTATACAAATAAGCAAGATCTGTAAAACGGAAGTGTAATAAAATGTTAGTTCTGGAACAAGACGGAAGTCCAGAAGTGGACGAACAGCCAGAACTTTCAGTCCTAGTTTACAGATGGTGACCGCGAAGAAGAGGGAGAAGAAGATTAATTTTTTGAAAGTACACGAGACAGAAGGCTGTTGATGTATATGACTATCTATTCCACACAGAATGGACTATACGATTTAAAACGCTGTATAATTGTGTCATATTGCATAATCTACTGTAAATGACGTGTAGTGATATGTGACACAATGTTATATGCTATCTTTAACATACAATATGTGTGTAATCTGTGCACAAAAGGCAACGTAATCTGCAACTTCACCAGAAATGTACTTATAGAAGCACCGCTGATCCGGATCACTCCCTGAAAGCCAACGAGACGCGATCCCAGCTTGGCTGCACTTCCCCCTGGACAAATTTATCTTCTCCAAGCAGAGACGGGATGTCATGCGGACGAAGCGTTCGGCTCCAAAGAAAAAAACGTTTTAATTAATTCATCCACGAAACCAGTTGTCTCCCAAACTCTTCACAGACGCAAACTTTTGGAAGTTTTTTGGGCTTATCCCAAAACATTAGGGACAGAACTGATAAGTTAAATAGTTTTTGGAAGATGCGTGATTGTGTTAAATGTTAATCAACCCGTAAGGATTCTGGAGTTACATTGTGGGGAAAAAGGGAGGGAAGAGGGTGCAGGAAAGGACCCCCCCCCCCCCCCCCCAACTGCTCCCCCTCTCAAGCAGGTAAATGGCGATTAATTATATTCGGTTTCTTTTTCGAAGTCGTAGTGCACCTGCCTGGGAGGCAAGAATTAACAGTCTGTATATAAACGGAGTGCACCTGCCTGGGAGGCAAGAATTAACAGTCTGTATATAAACGGAGTGCACCTGCCTGGGAGGCAAGAAAGAACAGTCTGCGTATAAACGAATGCAAGACAAAACATTCTGCATATAAACGGAGTGCACCTGCCGGGAAGGCAATAAAAAACAGTCTGCATATAAACGGAGTGCACCTGCCGGGAAGGCAAGAAAGAACAGTCTACATATAAACGGAGTGCACCTGCCTGGAAGGCAAGAAAGAACAGTCTACATATAAACGGAGTGCACCTGCCTGGAAGGCAAGAAAGAACAGTCTGCATATAAACGGAGTGCACCTGCCTGGAAGGCAAGAAAGAACAGTCTCTATATAAACGGAGTGCACCTGCCTGGAAGGCAAGAAAGAACAGTCTGCATATAAACGGAGTGCACCTGCCTGGAAGGCAAGAAAGAACAGTCTGTATATAAACGGAGTGCACCTGCCTGGGAGGCAAGACAAAACAGTCTGCATATGAATAAGTCCGTTTCGTTGCTTTGGATGGGAAAAAAAGGCATGGTCTCGTTCAACCAGCATTCCCGAAGGGAAATCGCTAGGTTATAGTTGTGACCAGCCTATGTGCGCCAGATGAAGGTGGCTTGGCATTGCAAGCTACCTACTGCCCTGAAGAAGACTCCTGCAGTGTTAATGCGACCAAAGGAGACAGCCCCAAATGCTGTCCCTACGATGACGACGTCGTCTCCCGGCGAGCCAATGGGCGACGTGGTGGTCACCGATGTATCATGTTTGAAAAAATATTTAATGCAACAAATGGAGATGTGCAACACAAAATAATTTATTTTTAATTTAAAAAAACTTTCATTATTTGTGGTGTGTGAAAAACAGACGGTTATTCCAAGCATATTTACAGTTCGTGTTGATCTGTACATAATTTTTCGAGATGTTTGTTAAAGTCCGAGGGTACGACTTTTGTAATAGAATATAACTCCAAACGACATCAGAGTTATCTTCTCTTTATGTAGATTCTAACTGTTTAAACAGTCAAGCCGTTTCTCTCTCACACCCTAATCACCGATCACCGAAGTCAAGCAACGCCGGGCGTGTTTAGTACTTAGATGCGTCACCACTTGGAAACTGCACGTGTTGAAAACATTTTCTAACAACAAAGAAGACACATTTTTTCCATTGTTGTCCTGTGTTGTTCACTTGGACCGGGCCAGTGCCCCTTAATCTGCCCGCAGAAAAGATGAGTCTTTATCTAAAACCGATGCCAGTTTGGATTTATTACATCCATTTCAAGCGAATTTTGCCAAGGGCATCAACTTTTGCATCGAAAATAATGGAAATCCCCATGAAGACGTTATTTAATATTCCAGTCGATTAAAATATTGTTATTACATTTCATTTCTTAAGAATAAGGTTAGTTGCGTATCCTTTACAGGACGTTGTAGAACCAACCCCAATAGCCCCTGGCTGGTGTGTGGTTTTTCTAGGCAAATTTACTTCCAGGTCAAAAGAAATTAAAAGAAATACTAGATTAAAATTTTTTAATTCTAATGTCAAATCAGTACTATTGTATGGGGCGTAAACATGGAGAACAACCAAGGCAATTACTAATAAATTACAGACATTCATTAACTGGTGCCTGCGCAGAATAGAGGGAATAAAATGGTATGATAGAATAACTAATGTAGAACTTTGGGAGAGAACTAAACAGGCTCCAGTGGATCAGGAAGTGAGGAAAAGATGCTGGCGTTGGATAGGGCACACACTGAGAAAACAGGAGAACAGCATAACTAGAATGTCTTTGCATTGGAACCTACAGGGGCATAGGAATAAAGGAAGGCCAAAAAACACATGGAGAAGAGAGCTGGGGAACGAGGTTAGAAAGATTGGGAGGACATGGGGAGAGCTCCATGCAAGAACGACTTGGCGTGAGTTGGTTGAGGGCCTATGCTCCATTGGGGGATAGAAAGGCAGAAGAAGAAGAAGAAGTTTGCCATTGCCTTGGACGGTCGGCTCTCTTGATACCACTGTCGAAACCAATGAAAGTCGCAAGGCCCGCAGCTTGGATCGAACCCAGCATCCCGGCATTACGAAGCGTTCGCATCGACTTACCCACAGAGCCGACCTTGAGAATATATACATATATAATTTTGCCTTTATGTCCGTTAATATTACAGTCGATTAAAACACTGTTAATAAATTTCATATTATCGTCACCATTAAAGAAGAAGAGAATAATGTTTAGGGAAAAAAAACATGGCTCAGTCAGATGCACTGCAACCTGTACAAATGTATGTGTGACAGACGGGGGTGGTGATGTATGTGTGACAAACAGGGGTGGTGATGTATGTGTGGTGACAAACGGGGGTGGTGATGTATGTGTGACGGACGGGGGTGGTGATGTATGTGTGACGGACGGGAGTGGTGATGTATGTGTGACGGACGTAGGGGGGGGGGGGGGGGGAGGTGATACGAGCAAACAACTGGAGA